TTCCCATAGGTCGTCAAAGGCTATCCTATGGGGATACCCATAGGTCCGCAAGCGCTATCCTAGGCCGGTACCCATAGGTCCTCAAGGGTCATCCTAGGGGGTACCCATAGGTCCTCAAGGGCCATCCTAGGGGGTACCCATAGGTCCTCAACGGCCATCCTATGGGGATACTCATAGATCCCCAAGGACTATTATGTGGGGGCACCCGTAGATCCCCAAGGGCTATCCTATGGGGGTTCCCATAGGTCGTCAAAGGCTATCCTATGGGGATACCCATAGGTCCGCAAGGGCTATCCTAGGGCGGTACCCATAGGTCCCCAAGGGTCATCCTAGGGGTTACCCATAGGTCCTCAAGGGCCATCCTATGGGGGTACCCATATGTCCCCAAGGAGTATCCTATGGGGGTTCCCATAGGTCCTCAAGGGCCATCCTATGGGGGTACCCATAGATCCCCAAGGGCTATTATATGGAGATACCCATAGGTCCTCAAGGGCTATTACATGGAGATACCCCTGGGCCCTCAAGGGCTATTATATGGAGGTACCCATAGGTTCTCAAGGGCTATTCTATGGGGGTACTCCTGGGCCGTCAAGGGCTATTACTTGAAGATACCCATAGGTCCTCAAGGGCTATTATATGGAAGTACCCCTGGGCCCTTTAGGGCTATTTTATGAAAGTGCCTCTGGGTCCCCCGGAGCTATTATATGGAAGTACCCCTGGACCCTCAAGGACCATTATATGGAGATACCCATAGGTCCTCAAGGGCTATTACATGGAGGTACCCCTGGGACCTGAAGGGCTACTATATGGAAGTACCACTGGGCTCTCAAGGGCTATTATATGGTGATATCCATAGATCCTCAAGGGCTATTCCTATGGGGGTACCTTTGGGTCCGCAGGTACTATTCTATGGGGGTACGTCTGGGTCCTCAAGGGCTATCTTATGTGAGTACCCATAGGTGCTCAAGGGCTATCCTATGAGGGTACCCATAGGTCCTCAAGGACTATTATAATGAGGAAGACACAGGTCCTCAAGGGCTATTGTATTGTGGTACCCATAGGTCCACAAGGGCTATTGTATTGTGGTACCCATAGGTCCACAAGGGCTATACGGCTATAAGGGAGTAGGGAATAAGGAGATAAGGATATAAGAGTAAAGGGGATAAGAGGCTAAGGCTACATGGGCATAAGGGATAAAGCTAAAAGATTATAAGGGGATAAGGGTGTATGGCATAAATGGACAAGGCTGGAAAGAATATAAGGGATAAGGAAATAACGGAATAAAGCTAAAAGAAGTACTACAACAAGAGTATGAGTCTACAAGGGTATCAGGCTGTACGATCTCTATATGTATATATAATGGGAACTGGGTTTTTGTCTATTTTCCAATCAAGTCTAAAGGACAGAAGTGAAACTTCACAAGAAAAAAAGCATCCGTGCAGTATGCACGGGCTCTCGCTAGTTTCTATATAATCGGACATTTGCACGATTAATTCAATAACATACTAAACTAAATCACTTAATTTAATTAATATTTGTTCTTGTTCGTATGTCCTGAAGTGACAGTGATGAATTGATCTGTTAGTCTAGAAAACGTGGAATTATATTCCTGTTGGGTGTGGGTGTGGGTATGGGTGGGTGGGTTTCGGTGTGAACCAATTCTACCCTGTGAGACACTCACACACACCCACACTCACACCCCCGCCCACACCCACACCCACACCCACACCCACGCCCACACCCACACACCCACACCCACACCCTTTAAATATTTTGATAAGACCATACAGAACTCATCTCTGCCCTACATCCACGACTATCTTCGCATTGTCTGTTCGATTCTAAATGCTTACCGTTCACCTTTAGTTCATGATCTTTCCAACGATGACGAGCTTGCTCGAGTGATGCTCGAACGAGAGCATAAAAAAAATGTTCTTGAAAACAAACTCAACGATAAGCAATTTCAAAAAGTGAAAAACTGGCAGAAAATACAAGTGACAGAAGCAGCGCCTAATTTTCCTATACTCTCGCAGGAACAATTAGAGGAACTTACACTTGGCGTATTTCAAATGAACCAAGCTAAAAGCTATGCTAATGAGTATGTAAACGACGACGGATCTTACGAAATTATGGTTTCGACACAAACAAGTGGCTTATTGAAAGCAAAAATCCAATCCAGACATTCGAACAAAAAGATATACAATGCCATCGTTCAATATAATAAACGCACAGTTCTAGAATGGTGTTGTCAATGTCATTATGGAAATGTAACTATCGGCACCTGTAGCCATGTGGCATCGATTCTCTGGTATTTAGGTTTAGCGCGCCATAATACGTCGAAAATGAAGCAAATTTCAAGCAGCTATAAAGATTTTTTCAAAGACGCATCGCCTATGCTCTTAAATGATGATGCTAATGAAGATGGTACTGATGATGAGGAGGATGAGGATGAGGATGATACTAATGATGAGGATAATGATGATGATGATGATAATGATGACGATGATGATAATGATGACGATGATGATAATGATGATGATGATGATGAGATCGGCAGTGAAAGATGACATGCAGCATGGACATAACCAAAAAACAATTTTTTTTGTTTAATTTTTGACTTTCAAGCAGCATTTTTTTCGCTTTTTAAATATTATAGATCGATAGAAAATGAAAAACTACCTATAAGGAAAAAAATTGTCATTGCTTCCAGTCTTTTCCATGAAGTAACAGGAGGTCAAACATCACATATAGCATGAAATAGTGAAAAAATTAATTTTTTAAAACTTTTGATTTTCACGCACCGCTTTTTTCGCTTTCTAAATATTACAGATCGATAGAAAATCAAAAATTACATGTAAGAAAAAAAAAGTGGCACTGCTGATAATGTTTTTCATGAACAGATAGAGGTCCAAAAATTACATTTAGCTTGAAAATAACGCTACACTGAGGTTTTTGGAACTTCTGAGTATGAAGAACCGTTTTTTTCACTGTTTAAATATTACAGATCGATAGAGCATGAAAAACTACATGTAAAAGAAGAATTTGGCATTGCTTCTAGCCTTTTCCATGAAGTAGCAGCGGGCCAAACATGACATATAGCATGAAATATGCGAATTTGGGCCCCTTGATCTCAAAATATCGGATGAAATCTTTATGAAAATGTAATTTTCTGGTCATTTTCAGACAGAACATATGGTTTTACATATATAGTGTACATTTCTCATAAGTCGGAGGGTTTTAGGAGTCCAACAGGAGGCTAAAAGCGAACATTTTAGCTATTAAGGCCATCTTGAAATATGAAGCGTTTTCAGCTAAGAAAACATCTAGAGACCTTTTAATGTTAATATATGTAATCAGCATACTTAACCCTATGAATCAGATTACATTTTATTTGAAATAAAAGAAAAAAAATTTTCGACATTCCTGTGGGGGACCACAGGCCGAAAAAATTTTTTTCGAGCAGTTTGAAAAAAAAACCTATGATACATGATCAGGACCTACACCTAACTTCAATTCAATAAAAAAAACTCGATTTCGTTGGGGGCAGGAAAATGGCCTTATCGGCCCTGGTCCTTTATCTATGTAATGTCATAATAGAACAATTTATGATGAGATACAAAAAATGAAATAAGAATTAATTATTATTTATATCGATTTTCTTCTATTTCATATTCAATCAAATTAATTTTTTTTCCTCACGTGAGAAACAAATTATTTACTGAGCATCCAATTTTTTTACTTAGCATTCAATTTTTTTGCTGAGCAATTACACAGTTTACTTAGCACTAATTTACTTAGCATTTCAATATTTTTACTGAGCAAATAATTTGTAGCCAATATTATTTAATATTGGAGCAATTTTTCGAATTGAATCAATAAATCAGAATGATCAAAAAGTTTGGAATGTTCATTTAAAATTAACTGATGATGAGGATAGACAATAAAAGAAACGAACTAATTGTGCCGAATCTCAAATAATTACACCTTATCCACAATTAAACTTAGGAAGATTGATGGTTGAAATGGGGAAATATAGTGCTGCTGAAGAATATTATCTTTCACTATTGGAAAATAAAAACGTGATTAAAGATTTAACATATCTTGCAGGTATCTATAATGAACTTGGACGGATTTATCAACAAACTGGTGAGAAGATAAAAGCTATTGAATGCTTTTCAAAAGCAATTGATATCGAACTTGAACATTTACTTCCAACTCATAGAAATTTAGCAAGACTTTATTGTAGTCTTGGAAAAATTCATCATGAACAAGGTGATTATCAAGCAGCTTTAATAAAGTATCATGAAGCGCTCAATATTGAACTAAATCAGGATAGACCAGAGGAAATCACACTTGCTAAATACTACCATGCCGTTGGTCAAGTATATTATGTACAAGGTTGTTATACAAACGCTTTAATAGCGTTTGAGAAATGTCTTACGATGCAATTGAAGATTTTACCTAAAGATCATACCAATCTAGCAACAACATACACTAATATCGGACTAATTCATTATAGACAATTCCATTACGATGCAGCATTAGATTGTTTTAAGAAAACACTTTCGATACAATTAACTTTGTATTCTTCAGAATGTTCTTGGTTAAGTAAAACTTATGGAAATATAGCTTGGATATTGTATCAGCAGAACAAATTCATAGAAGCATTGAATTACATGAAAAAAGCATATGAGATTGCTGTAAACAATTTTTCAGTTGAACATGAACATTCAAAACAATGTCAGCAATGGATTGTTGAAATAGAAGAAAATCTAGCACAGACTACTCAAGAGAGAAAATGAATTTGTATGTGTATGTAGTTGTGTCAATGTTCTTCTTTTTTTTTTATAAACTAACACCCACACACTATACATCGTTTCACGTTTTCATATACACAATCAAGATTTTATTTTCTGAATTATAATTCAATAAATTAAATCATTCAAAAAATGTAACATAGGAAAACAAAATGATGAATTTTCATGACTACAATAGAATAAATATCATTTTATGTTGAGTTTTAAAAGAATTATTTTGTTAAAGGTGTGAGTCGTTGACTTCATTGTAGAATGACTTCTTGGATATTAACGACACGTATCGGATAACGTGGATGTTGATTGCAAAAGCAATTGACAGAATATGATCACTCTAGTGGATGTTTTGTATCGTATGTTATGTAAAGAAATTTAAGAAAATGAAAGCACAAGTTATTACAAAATTATTTGCTTACCAAGGTAAATATGACTTATTTAAAAAACTAAACAAATAATCACGTGCTGCATGCACAATATAGAACACTATTGACAACCATGCAAAGAACTGATGTGGTCGTCGTGAGTAATTTCATCACAATAATGTGAAACGTAGAAACAAAAAGTTTTAAAAAATTATTTTCTTTTAGTGTTTTTTATACTTATGAAAGAATAATGTCGGAAACATATTATTAAATGAAAAGCTAATAATAGATAGCTAAGATCTCGAATATTTTGAAAAATTTTGGATGATACAGAGTCTTCCATGTAATCAAAAAAAATGATTAGTTATGATGAGTTTACTAACATCACTTTCTTTTGTTCATCATTTTTTTTTCTTTCAGATTATTAAATATATAGATACTCTTTTTTTTTCTATTGAAAAATCAATAAAATTTCCAAATGGTAAAGTTATTAAACAAAAATAAAAAGTTCAATTTATTAGTTTTGTTCATAGGTAAACTTGACGAGTGAGGAAGTTCATCGTATGATGAAAAAAACAAGAAATATTCGAAATATAGCCATCCTCGCTAAGACGAATGATGAAGAATCAACATTAATTAATTTGCTTGTGAACAAAGCTGGTATTATTATTTCGCAGAAAACAGATGAAATGCATTTGACTGAGAGTGAAACAAATGAACTCGAACAACCTACTCTAATTAAACCAGCGTAATTTCAAAATACCAAACTTTTCTTTAATATTTTTTTTTCCATGAAAACATTTCATATTTAGAGTCATTTCAGTTTATTATGACTTACCCGCTAAATATTTAGAATTCTTTAATCACGAACCTGAACTCGATTCATCTCAATTTTTAATTAATCTTATTGATTCAATGATTCATAGTAATATTTCATCAATATCTGCTCCTTGTTTATCGCTTGCTGATGGTATTCTTATCGTTATCGATTGTATTTCAGGTTAAAAGAAATATTTACATTTTGTTTTATTAGATATACTAGTTTTTGATTCTTAGATGTCTGCTTAGTGACTGAAACAATTCTTCGTCAAGCTATTCGTCAACGGATAAAACCAATTTTATTTTTTAATAATATGGATCATGCTTTGCTAGATTTAAAATATGAATCTGAAGATCTTTTTCAACAATTTCAACAGATTCTCAAAAATATCAATACTATCATCACTACTTATGGTGATGACAATAACCATATAAATGATTTTATAGTAAGAAACTCAACTTTCTTTCTTTTAATACAAACTATTTTGATTATGAATTTTTTAATAACACACTTAGATGATCATTGTTTCGTTTAGATCGATCCAAAAAAATATGCAGTTATATTCGGTTCTACTCTTCATGGTTGGGCTTTTACAATAACACAATTTGCCGATATTTATGCATCAAAATATGATATTGAAAAGAATAAATTAATGGAACAATTATGGGGTGATCATTTCTTCTCCCCGGTGACAAAGAAATGGTCAACAATTCAAGAAAAAGGTAAATTACATATTTTCAACATTATATGGAAATAAATTGATTTTTAATGAAAAATTAGGTTCTGTTCGAGGTTTTTGTCAATTTATTCTTAATCCTATTAATCAATTGTTCAAAGCTATAATGAATTCAAGAAAAGATGAATTTACAAAATTATTTGAAGAATTCAATATAGAATTACAAGATGAATTGAGTAAAGATGGTATATTACTACTAAAACTTGTTATGAACAAATGGTTACCTATTGATGATATTCTACTTACGACAATGGTTATTCATTTACCATCACCAGTTCTTGCACAAAAGTATCGAACTGAACTTCTTTATGCGGGTATATTTAAGAAAAATTTAATAATCTCCTCAGGGAGGCGAGTAACAAAATGAATGAATGTTTAGGTCCGCATAATGATGATGTATTTTTGAGTATTCAATCATGTAATTCAAACGGTCCATTAATGATTTACATTTCAAAAATAATACCGACATTAAATAAATCGCATTACTATGCATTTGGTCGTGTTTTTTCCGGTATTGTTAAGTCAAATGAACATGTTCGTATATTGGGTCCTAATTATATACCAGGCAAAAGAGAAGATCTCTATATTAAAAATATTCAACGGTATAAGATTCATCCAACATGGATAGTTGATTATAAAAAATTTTTCACGAAGAATTATATGATCTTGATTTAGAATAGTTGTAATGATGGGTCAATCTATTCAACCAATTGACGATTTATCATGTGGTAATATCTGTGGTCTCATTGGTATTCATCGATATTTAGTTAGAACTGGTACAATTACAACATCTGAGCATGCACAAAGCATTTGTGTTAGTAGTCGAGTTGCTGATTTTAGTGAAAAAGTTTCATTTGTTGAAATATTTTTAGATGTTGAAAACTAACATCAATTCTATCGTATATGTTACTGTAGAACCAACTAATTCAGCTGATTTACCAAAATTAGTGGAAGGTATGAAATGTTTAGTTCAAGTAGATCCTCTTGTTCAAGTAAAAATGATTACCTTTTTCAAATAGAATTCGATATAGAATTATTTTAGTGTTATACTGAACAGTCTGGTGAACATATTACAGCCTGTGTTGATGAACTACATTTGAAAAATTGCTTAGAAGTTTTGGAAAGAAACTATGCTTGTATTCCGATTAAAGTTTCTGATCCTGTGACATTGTATCGTGAAACTGTATCGAAAGAATCCGACAGAATGTGTCTAGCGAAATCTCCTAATAAACATAATCGAATCTATTTAAAAGCTCAGCCTATGCCTAATGGTAAATATATATGCATATATATTATCATTAGATTTCGAGAAAATTTTAGGTTTACCAGAAGATATTGAAAATGGTCAAATAACATCAAATCAAGAAATAAAAGCACGTGCACGTTATTTATATGAAAAATATGATTATGATATATACGAAGCACGTAACATTTGGTGTTTTGGACCAGAGAAAACTGGACCGAACTTTTTAATCGATTCTACTATACGAATGCAATATCTCAATGAAATAAAAGATTATTGCGTTAGTGCATTTCAATGGGCTACAAAAGAAGGTGTACTCGTTGAAGAAAATGTTCGAGGTGTTCGTTTCGATATTCATGATGTATATATTAGGGATGCAATACATCATGGTGCTGAACAAATTATTCCAACGATGCGTCGTGTTCTTTATGGATCGATGCTTACTGCTAGTCCAAGACTTGTCGAACCAATTTATTTATATGAAATTCAGGTATGTTTACAATACGTCGAAATCCTTATCTCTTTCAAGCTTTAATAGTTGCTTTAGTATCCACAAGTGATCGCTGGTCATATTTATAGTGTGCTAAACCGTCGTCAGGGTTATATTTCTGAAGAACGTCAAATATTTGGAACATCAACATATGTCGCTAAAGCTTACCTACCGATCAGCGAGTCTCTTGGTATGAGAATCATCTGTATCTTTTTTTCATACGTACTTATTTTGTTTTTATAGGCTTTACTGATGATCTTTGTTCGAGTGCTGATGGTCAAATAGTTATCCGATGTGTATTTCATCATTGGCACATATCAGATGAAGATCCACTTGATGAATCAACTAGAATTCGGCAAGTTGTTAAGAATATTCGAAGACGTAAAGGACTGAAAGAAAATATTCCATCTACAAATGATTATCTTGATAAATTATAAACAATTTAATCCTTTTTTTGAAAAACGGAATTTGACAAGATCTCATTGTCGGTCATTTCTGTAATTCGTTATCTCTCAATACTCATTGAAATGATCAATTCTAGAACCAATGCCAAACAAAAACAAAAATATTAATACGTTAATGCAAAAGTTTTACAAAAGTGTAACAAGAAAAAAATAATCATTAAAATGATCTTGTAAATACTAGATAGGAAATAATATGATAAAGTTCGTCCTATAATAACTATTTTCTGACATTTCTGTTGCGATATCTTTTATTGAATGTTAATTATATCATCCATATGCATAACATCCATGTGAAACAATACAAATTCTATGATTTCTAAGTATTTTCTACCTAAACTGAAAGTTTATGTTCAAGATTGAAATATCGTTTCTTAAAAGAATTTAGAATCGGATACCAGTTCAATATATTTTTGATCTCTCATATGATCTATCCTACATAATTCGGATAAATATGAGACACTCCCAAATGTGTTTGCTTGATATTCATCATTCCATGCTCCAAATGACACGGTAAGAAAACATATGCTATTAAATCAAAGATAATGAGGAAGTGGAATAACTTTTTTCGCGTCAACTCATTTGATCTGTCGATTTTGATCAAAAGATACATTTAGAAAGGGAAGTGTTTATACATATATTGCTTATTTGTACTAAAGAATTCAAAATATTCGATACAAATGGCTTCAATCTCTATTGAATATCCAAATGATCGAATCATTAATGTATTCGATTAATCTTTGTAAGAAATCTTGTTTAAACAACTTTGAAAATAATTGGGAAGTGGATTGACAACAAGTTCTTATTCTCTAATTGTCGATCTCTTTTTCTTTTGAATTACTTTGTGTATCTTTTACATCTTCAAGTCTTATATTATATAAATATTATCAATCTTCACCAACTATCTAGATTACATTCGAAATATGCAATGAAGACTAAATAAAAAGACAGAAGCTAACAGAAAAATGTTTAGATAACTACAGTATCTTGATACAATGTCGGTTCAAAGCGCCTAAGACTACGAAGAGTCACAGTCAGTGGCGGAAGAGTAAAGTACAAAATGAATAACCTCATATGTACCACATCCTACGCACCTTACATTCACCACATATTCACAAAATGAAGACTATATCTTAGCTATGAAGATTGGATATTTGATTGCGATCTTTTAACTTCAAAAAATTACTTGGTCTATCTTCAATGATTAATTAAAACAAAACAGACAGATATGTTAGGAAAAATTATTTTGCTTTATATTCTGATTCTGGTAGATTCAGCTTCCTGTTCATAAGCAGCAATTTATTTACTTGCGAACAGAGCTGGATCAACCCGACAAGATCGGCTGTATTAGTACTATGAAAGACCTGGAAGAATCTTTTAATCTCACATGCAAAGTAACTATGTTTTTCGAAGATCAAAAAGATCAGAATAATTTACTTTTTTTTAGTCCTTTTCATGTATTTCTAATCCAAGGTTTTTTTAAATATGTTAATGAATTTGAATAATCTTTCATTTCTCAACATGTTACATGTCATGAATGTACTATGTATTTGATTGAAATTCAAACGCTTTTTGATAATTAATCGTAAGCTTATAAAGATCATCAGTGTAACGAATCATATGCAACCGTCCGAAGTGCATGCTTTTCTGGTATGAATAACTTACATAAGGCGATAATTTAGGAAATTTGAAAAGTCTTTACAAGAGACTGGGAAGCTACTGCACAATATCATACCTTTATGACATGTAGTGGAAATATAATGAATACTAATCTAATCGGGCTAAGTTGAAGGAAAATTCCAGCCTTTGATTTTAAGCGACTTTCTCCTTAAATTCAAATGCTATCTGATATACACTCGACTAACATTATTATAAATGTTAGTCAACGCAGTATAATCTTTCTTAAGAGTAGACTAGTTCAGCTCCATCGAAGTATTTCAATTTGCTTATTCAATGCCATGTACCTTCATGGATTCCAGAGGTGAGTATCTTCATGACAACAAGTTAGAAGATCTTGAATATGGGTATGAATTTTAATGTGAGTCTTTGCTACATTCCCATGTCGCTCATTTTTTATGAATCCCGGCGGGATCTCGCGGGATTAACTTTTCTCGGCGGGAAGCCGCGGGAGTCCGTTTATCCCGCAAAAGTGACGAGATCCTGCGGGTTTCCAGCCAAAAAAAACGCCCATATCGCCTAAATTGCCTAAGTTTTAACGATTAATCGCGATTAATTGCCGATCAATCAATCATCCCAACTAATTTAAAAACATTTTCAAGGTCATTCGTGCAGTCAGTGGACAAAGGAGATTATTCTCAACTTTTTCTTTTCTTTTCTCTTTCATATACATTCTCTTCGCACAATAAATTTTGTTCATTTTTTCATCCAGAGAAATTTATAAATTACTCATCTGTTTTACTTTGTATAAAGAACTAGAGACAAAAAAGAATCACATGAGTCCGATTAGATTTGATTTGGTTCATATTATGTTTGAAAAAAGGTACGCGTAGGTGTGGGTGTGATTTGGAAGTGAAAGTCAATCTTTTATCAACCACATGCACCCTTAAATTATTTTTTTTTTAATTTATTTCTTTTTAAAATTATTTGTGTAAGTGCCGTGACCAGTGGATTCCTTATATTCGTAAAAAGCTTATATTAGCAAAGTAGTGGAATATACTTTCGTATTTAAAATGGTTAAGGGATATCAATTTATTCTTATATTTTAGTTTACAGATTCATGGAATAAAAAAATTATCTTTTTCATAATTAACATTTTAAAATACCGATTCTAAAAAAATATTTTTATATTTAAAGAGAGATATGAATAACAATAATTTTTATGTAAAATAAATTAATTTTGTGATGATTTAAATTATAAATAAATTTACTTAGAAATAAGTTTTATTTAAAAATATGAACTGCTATCATTCAAATTTATTTTTAAACGTAAATTATCAAAAACAAATTTTTTTTATATATTTATTTTAAATTAACAGCAAAATGACATCCCAAGCTGTTACTCGTAGTAAAATTTACGTTAACAAAGTTTTGTCGAAATATACCTAGAAAATTCAACAACAGTAGATATACGTAAGTTTAGTATAATTGTATACTCCGCGCCTCCAAAATACAAGTTCATCTGATCGAATCTGCTCTACGGTAATAAAAAGCGAGTTGGAACGCGCTGAGTAAGCACAAAGATATATCGATGAACAAACTCGTTCTCAGAGAACGTTAACAAATACTGAACAGACTCGTTCTATAAACATCAAGTCTTGAAAAAAAAGTTGATTTTCTAGTTTTTTTTCATGGGAACCATCTTTATTGATTAGAAGAAAATCGCGGAATAATCGCGATTTTTTTGAAGAAATCGCCGCGGAAAAAAATCGTCAAAAATCTCAGAATGTGACGATTTCATCGCGATATAATCTCACAATTAATCTGCATGATAAATCGTCGACTTTTGCACGATTTTCATCATATGGGCGGGATCTCGGCATTTATCGCGGCATTGCCGGGATCTCGCGAGATCCCAATATTTTTTGAGCGGGATCCCGCACAGGGTCCCGACGGGAAATTGCCGGGATGAAAGACATGGGATTGAAAATCAGGTTCAGTAAAATAGTAATAGCTCGTTTCTTAGATATTTGATCAACTTGTATGAATTTCCAGATGATTCATATATACACTAGTTTAATAATTTCTTGAACAATAGCAAGGCTTATTGAAAATTGCAAGACGAAAAATGAAGATCTACAGAAAAATTTTTATGAATTATTCAAACACTAGCAAGTGTCTTTTCTTAGATCCCTCAACTTTGAATACGTTGCATTTTCTTTCATATGGCATTTTATGGATCGAAGAAAGCCGAAGTTTATCATGAAGTGATACACAGAAAAAGCCATTCTTCTAAAATACACACTGAGGCTCATGAAAATGAAATTCAACTATATTTTTGCGGATAAACGTTGACATATACAACAAATATTTGTTGTCTATTTGTACTCAACAAGCAACAACAAAGTTAAGCAAAACGATAATCTCTTCATTCTAGACATTTATCTATATAAATGGGTGTGAAGGGTGTGGGTGTGGGTGTTGGTGGGTGTGGGTGTAGGGTGTGGGTGTGGGTGGGGTGATGGTGTGGGTGTGGGTGGGGTGAGGGTGGGGTGAGGGTGTGGGTGTGGGTGTGGGGTGTGAGTGTTCTTTTCTGTAAATCCACATCCACCCAGCCACACCCACACCCACACCCACATCCACATCCACACCCACACCCCACATCCACACACCCACCCACACCCACACCCACACCCCCACACCCCCACACACCCACACCCACACCCCACACCACCCACATCCACACCCACACCCACACCCACACCCACACCCACACCC